GAGGAACCGTTTTCTGAGATCATTCGTGGGGCGAATTTCTGGGCATTCTGCATAGCATCACTTGAAGTCAAGAATGCGATATCATTTCGCAGAACATGTACGGACTAAACTAGTTATGTTTTTGGAAAACCGTATCTCACTTTTGAAGGTAGTATCCCAGCAAAGTCGCTTTTCAGTTTTTCACATAATCGGAGCCTTGCCGCCATGAGAAACCCATATCTGGCCTTTTTAGCAAAATATGAGTAAAGTATGAAAAGTATAAAGTATGAAAATGGCAAAAATAAGCCTTTTTCGAAGCATTCCAGGTCCGCATCCAGTGGAAATACGCCTGATGTCTTCCGCGTTCCTGGCCCCGTATTTTCCACTGAATGCGGACCTGGAAAATGTCAGAGAAAGCTCATTTTTCCGTTTAAGCGCGCTAAAAAGCTCAATTATGGCTCCCCATGGCAAAATGTTCCGAAAAGGTGAAATATTGAGGGACAAATTTTGCCGGGCCAGTGCTTATAAGCTTGGCCTACTCATTTGTTTTTGCAGTTATCATGTTCACGTAACTACAATCTATCTCTATCCGTAGGTGAAATTGATTCAGGTGGCACCCTGGGTGCCCGGGTGTCAATAAATGGTATACAGGTAGCACCTCCCCAGTAGCGGACGAACTCACGGAGACATTATATTTTGCAGCAAAAAATGCCCGAAAAGTTGTTCAATCTTTATGTAGCTTTTATGTTAAGGCTTCTGCTATTTTCTAATGATGGAAATAATCAGCAATCACATCGCCATAAATACGCGATAGAAATGTTTTGAGCTTAATCCAGCATGTGAAATATGTAAGCTTCAATGACTGATATAGGAAACGAACTTCAATGAAAAGAAGTAAATTTAGATCATTTTTCTCGTTTTCTTAAAGTGAGGGCGGGCTGTTTTGCGTGCGCGAGCAGCTGGCAGCTAGCGGCTGGCAGAGCTATCGTTATTCTTGACCGCCACCCTTGATTCAGGTAACAGGGTTGATCTAATGCGATTTGGACAATACATACAATGTCAACAATTGCGCATATTTGTTGTTTTGATGTGCCAGTAACTACTAGATTCAGAAAGAGTGTCACAAGACTGACTTCTTTTTAGCATTTGTGGTGAAACCATTCCGAATTACCCCGGTGCGTCTTTCATTCTTGCTATCTTCCTCATGAAGAGCTTATTGAAAGCTGATGGAATCAGCTGATAGCAGTTGCGAATGCACTCATTGAGATTTTTTAAACTCCACTGTAGCAATCTCTAACCCCACCTTTTTGCCGTAGTTTGTCAGCAAATTTCAAAGCACATTCGATTCATTCATTCCAGTCCCTCATAGGATTACGGTATTTGAGTGCAGTACTTTGAGCACCGTTCAATGATTGCCACTTTCATGCATGACATTTCCTTACAAGTTTCTTCCCAAAAATATATCTTGTATGTCCGAGTTCACTTGATGGTGTTTCATCTTCTTTTCTTTCTTCTACATTGAATTTTCTTAATTCGTCTCGGAATCGCACTTTATAAACCAAATGTTTTTATCTAACTGTTTAATTTATGATAGCAGTAGTTTTTGTCGTCCTCCTTAAAACGAGTGTAGGCTATTCGAAACTGAAGCTGAACTAAAACACTTTGGTAGCAATATTGGCGGAATCAGGCTGTGTTTTATTTTCATTCATTTTTAGTTTTAATAGGAAAACTAGCTGGCTTACCCGGCTCCGCCGTATCCGGACCAAACTTGGCACACATACACTTCGGGCCCCGGCGGGTGTCACAGTCCACTTTTCGTTATCGATCGATGTCGATTTTACCGATTTTTATCGATTTTTTGGCAGAGTTCACCTTCAGGGCTAGGAGTTGGCACAGGGGGGAAGTGAGCATGGGGATTCCGAATACAATATTAGTTTTCGGAATTATCGATTGCTTTTATTGATTTTATCGATTTTTTGGCAGAGTTCACCTACAGGGCTAGGAGTTGGCACAGGGGGGAAGTGAGCATGGGGATTCCGAATACAATATTAGTTTTCAGGATCGTCCATTACTTTTATCGATTTTATCGATCTTTTTGCAAAGTTTGACCTGCGGGGCTGGGAGTTTGCACAGAGGGTAATCGAGCATGCAGATTACGAATACAATATTAGTTTTCAAGATCGTCCATTACTTTTATCGATTTTATCGATTTTTTGAAAATTTGAGCTAGGGGGCTGGAATTTGGCACAGGGGTGTTCGAGCATGCTGATCACCCCCCTTGGGGATGATCAGCATGCTCGATTACCCCCCTGTGCCAACTCCCAGCCCCCTAGCTCAAACTTTGCAAAAAAATCGATAAAATCGATAAAAGTAATCGATAATCCTGAAAACCAATATTGTATTCGGAATCCCCATGCTCGATTACCCCCCTGTGCGAACTCCCAGCCTCGTAGCTCAAACTTTGCAAAAAAATCGATAAAATCGATAAAAGTAATCGATAATCCTGAAAACCAATATTGTATCCGGAATCCCCATGCTCGATTACCCCCCTGTGCCAACTCCCAGCCCCGTAGCTCAAACTTTGCAAAAAAATCGATAAAATCGATAAAAGTAATCGATAATCCTGAAAACCAATATTGTATTCGGAATCCCCATGCTCGATTACCCCCCTGTGCCAACTCCCAGCCCCGTAGGTGAACTCAGCAAAAAAATCGATAAAAATCGATAAAATCGATATCGATCGATGACGAAAAGTAGCCTATGACACCCGCCGGGGCCCGTAGTGTATGTGTGCCAAGTTTGGTCCGGATCGGTTCAGAAATGGAATTTTCTATTCGGAACATACGTACACACATACATACAGACAGACATACAGACAGACATACAGACAGACAGACAAACAGACATTCAGCTTTATATATAAGATGATGCAATCCTTATGTGCAATTGACTGAATCATCAAAAAATACCAAAATTTTTCCAAAGGCATGTTATGTAATTCATATCTTCCATTTGTCAGAATGAATTGGTAAGAATTTTTCAACACTAAAAATCTGCTAAAAGCAAATAGAGGTAGAAACGACAATTATCATCCGGTTGTGACACTGCAAGTCAGTCACTTCAAATTGAGTAATGCCGATCTTTCTTGTGCACACTCTTCCTTGATGTTTCCAGAGCTCTGACGAGCATTGTTGTAAAACAATCGCCATCAGCAAACTAACAAAATAAGTAAGTACACTTAGTAAGTACAGTTTTTGATAGGACGACATTCTCATCTTGGTAGCAATGATTCATATGTTTTTGAAAAATCATTTTCAATTGACTTTCCAAAGCATACTGGATTCGCCTTCTGCTCATTTTGATTTTTTTCATTCATTAGCTTTTGCTTCTTTTTTACTGATCCACATATCTCGGCTGATCTTTCGTATAATTTTTCACTTGTGTTTTCTTCATATCATACTCGACAGTCGATAGCCATTCTGGCACACTCATTGCTCGAAGTTCTTGTTTACTCAGCTGATCGATCTTAAGAGGTTCTTATAGTGTTTGCAGTTTGACAAGTATGACTGCGTTTTTCTACAATTTTTTTCGCTGTTTAGAAAAATGTACATTTCTGAAATTGTAGGTCATTGCAATACCTGACTTAAATATCTACAATTTTTTATTGAAAAGAAATCATTAGCTCTACTAAGAATTAGTCAACGAACCAATTTTGATTGATGTTATCTTATATATAAAGCTGAATGTCTGTCTGTATGTATGTCTGTATGTCTGTCTGTACGTATGTGCGAAATAGAAATTTTTATTTCTGAACCGATCGGGACCAAACTTGGCACACATATACTTCGGGGCAGGGAGCGTGTCATAGGCTACTTTTCGTTATCGATCGATGTCGATTTCACCGATTTTTTGCAAATCTTGAGCTACGGGGCTGGGATTTTGCGGGGGTGATCAGCATGTTCGATTACCCCCCTATGCAAAATCCCAGCCCCGTAGCTCAAAATTTGCAAAAAATCGGTGAAATCGACATCGATCGATAACGAAAAGTGGACTATGACACGCTCCCTGCCCCGAAGTGTATGTGTGCAAAGTTTGGCCCCGGGCGGAGCCGGGTTTGCCATCTAGTATATGATAAAACATTATGAAAGGTGACAGTTGATTAGTATAAAACTTTCTACATGTCTATCATTCCTTCCTTCTATGCTTAAGACGGGCCTTCGAATAGAATTTGAGGTAGAAATGCCCTTACAAGTGTTTGTGCTGAAAGGGACTCTGATTTGAATAATTTTCAATGAAAATTACTTGGAAGAGGAATGCTATAAGCATTCAGTCAAAACTTTTTTACATTTTGAAATGTCGTATACTTTTACAAACAAGGTAAAAGAGGAAATTTCAATTCTTAGCTGTGTATTTTGATTCATAGCTTGAAGCAGACGAATCGATGGTATCAATAGTTTACTTGCCTTGTGCCATGAAATTTTCCTTATCTTTCATATCTTCTCCATGAAAATAGCTTTGAGAAGCCAAAATTCAGTTAACTTTTGTCCATCTGTTGCCGTACGTTTCACATCAAAAGGTTAGCTACCAACTATGCTTTCTGGTAGCGGCATGGTTAGTACTGGTAAAAATATCTCGATTACCACATGTGAAATTTCATTATCTGGAATCTGGTCTTTTATAGGATAATTTTTGTATAATTTTAGTTAAACTACGATTTCGAAATATTTGCGTTTTCATTGTTGTATCGAATGAATTGCCGTATAACCAACTGTAGATTCGATATTAAGCGACTATGTATTTCGTACAAATTTTTTTGTGATGTAAGTAAAACTAGCTGAAAAAACATGATTGGCGCGGGGATCCTATATCATGCTAAATCTCAAACTATAATGTACAGAGCAGCCTGTGACCATTTTTTTGGTTTTTCATACTTAGTTAAAGCTCGAACCAAAACATCTGTTGATATTCGTCAATTTCCTTCGTTTTCTCTTCTGTGAATCTACTTATTTTCTTCGATTCAGGTGGAAAATCGATGGCAGCATAGGAAACGATGGACACTTTTCCAGGTAGTACCGATGTGGGTCAATCAGGCCTTGCTCCACACTTGAGAAATAGACGAGGTGGGCTAGAAGTCTATGAGTTGCTGTGTCCTAATTTTGATCCGGTTTTTGTGCAATTTATGCTTAGAGATTTGCTAATTGTTGTTTTTCAGAGGACATTGGTGCCTATGACAACGATGTGACGGTGCAATCGGATATCTCAATGAGCGTAGGCACCGACGACACGGCCAACTTGCTTGGTGACGTGAGTGTGAATTTTGTAAACAATCAACAAAGTAGCTTATCCCATCCGCGTGGACTACTATATTTGCTTCTCGATTTTTTATATCCCAACGTTCATCAAAAATTCCATTTTTCGTTTTGTATTTTCAAAAAATATTAGTTTCAACCGAAAGTTCTGTCGCACCGTTTTCAAAAAATCATAACTTCTTTCCCTCCCAACGATTTTGCGCAAATCAAATTTTATCAGAAAGCGTAAAGCATGCAGTTTCCAAAAGTTTCCTAAGGACATTCCGACATGCTCAGATCGCAGAGATAAAGATGAACGAACGAGATCATCCGAAATTCGGAATTTTTTAGCAAAAATTCTATAAATCTAGGAACTGTGCGATAAAATCCAGAACAACTGTCATCCTAAGTTTTCTTGTATTTCATTACTAAATGAGTCAGGTCTGTGCTGATAGAGGCCTTCTTTCAGAAGTTATGATTTTTTGAAAAAAAAAAGAGTGCCAGAAAATCAATTTCTTAAGAGTTCTTAGGAAGTTGATTTTTCAGTGTTTTAAAAAAACCATAACTTCTGTATGAAGACCACGATCAGCACAAACTTGACTTAGTTGGTAATAAAATACAAGAAAACTTAGGATGACAGCTGTTCTGCATTTTATCCCACAGTTTCTAGATTTATAGAATTTCCGCTTAAAAATTTCGATTTTCGGATGATCTCGTTCTTTCATTTTTATCTCTGCGACCTGTTCATGTTGGAAATTCTCCAGGAGACTTTTGGAAACTACATGCTTTACGCTTTCTGGTAAATTTGAATTGCGAGAAATCGTTGTGAGGGAAAGAAGTTATGGTTTTTTGAAAATGGTGCGACAGAACTTTCGGTTCAACCTAATATGATCGATAATTTCTTTGTTTCGCAGTTATGCTTCATGAGATCCAGAAGAGATTTTTTGATATTCCTTGTATTCAAAGCTTTTCACAATGTGCTGAGCCTTCTGAAATTTTTCGGGCCTCCGTCCAATTGCAAATCCGTCATTTATGTCAAAAGTGATCAATGACTAACAAATGCAGACTGTGTAAAACCTGTTTCTGAAGTTTTCTCTCTACTTCGATTATGGTTTGAAAATGGTGCACTTTTCATTTTCGCAATGGAAGTAAAAACTCCCTAGTCTATCTGCTGCTTAAATAGCGGAAACTTTTGTAAGGCTCCAAGTTTCTCAGAGACTCAAACCAGGGCCCGGCACGAGGTCGGCAAATGACAAGCTGGAAATCGTTCTGGGGCCAAAAAGCAAAGGGGAAATCGTTTTTGCGGGGTCCGGGGCAGAGCCCCGGAAAAAAATTGGTAGTTCATGCTCGCTACTTATCTTGACATGTTATGTGCCTCAACAGGCGAACACTGGAGTTCGCGCGCGTCATACCGCGCCGTCGCTAAGTGCCGCACGCGCGACGTCGCCCTAGCGATGCTATTTGTAACTGCATACATGACTAGTTCTCAATGTGTGTGTAACGATATGGCACCAAATTTTGTGTGCGAACGGACAGAGGCTAGTGGAAACATAGTATGAAAAATTATGAAAAACTTATGTGAACGGAACGAGTAATTAGCATTTTTTCCGAGAATTTCGCAAAACTGGTAAATGAAAATGTGAATTTAAACGGCTCGTTTGGAAAGCGCAGATGAACGATATGGTATGAAACTTGGTAAGTACATGCACACGGGCTTGCAGGACTTAACTGAGGAGTTTCATTGAGAAATTATGTGACTGAAGGTTGTGGCAAACTTTTTTCTGGAAATTTTGCGCTACCAAAGAAATGGAAAAATGGCTCGTTTGCAACGCAGAGGTAACGAAATCGCGCGGGCTTCGGTGTGTATATGCGCAATAGGACTAAGTAATAAAGTATGAAATATTATGAAAAACTTATGTGAATGAAGAGTTTCCTTAACTTATTTCCAAATTAGGTCGGCATTTGCCGACCTAATTCCCACCTGAGGTCGGCAAAACTCTCAATTCACATAATTTTCTCAAAATTTTTACATAAATCTGTTGTACACCTAAAGTTTACTACATGGTGAAATTTTGGTTCCGAAACTCCTCCTCTTGTCTTTGTTGGAGCCCAAAATGGCATCAGCAGCCCAGCTTTCTAAGATAGAAAGCGGGCGGCGTGGCAGGAGTTCCCAAAGCCTCGCCGACTTTCCTTGCAGGAGTGATTAGCACCTTCAGAGAAACCTGGAAGGGACATCACACCTTCACAGGTCAAGGAACGGCTCCGCCTTTTTCTCCGCCTTCTAAGTGCGCTCATTCTAGATTGTGCAAGCGCAGTGGAATCTTTGTATTTATAAAAAGTGAGGACCACTTAAGCTGATCCGAGAAATTTCGTTAATCGAATTCAATTTCTTTTCAAACATTAGAAACAGCGAATGAGTGCAAGAATTCACAAAATCTTGGTTACCAGTGTTAGTTATGTCTTAAAGAAAAGTAAAGCAACACTTCCTTCGCCACCTTTACCTGCTCCCGCAAAATCTTTGGTTATGCTATGTATAGGTGATTACCTTGTGTCAAGCGCTCGAATCAAACAAGAGAACGTGTCTAACAAGCGTCCAAGTACAATCCAAGCATATGAACAGCATATTAGAGTGAAGGGAACCGAGAACTTGCAAAATAATTTTTTTCTATTGTCGAATCTACGAAAAGTAGATGTCTAGCCTTCGATAAGTACAGTCATTTGGGAAGTCGAACGCTGACCCTAAGCCAGCATCTAAATTGGCCAACTATTATGTGGATTTTGAAATCTTCTAGTAGTATGACCGATTTTCTTCAAGAAAATGCACAAGTGATTAATTTTCATTTATATTAAGTCGCTCCGAAAATTCACGCTTGCATCTCTCTGGCGTGCTTTCTAGAACTACTAAAATTTATTTTCTGAAGTGATCAAATTTTATATTTGGCTCATCAACCTCGCAGAACCAGACGCTGAACAGTTTAGGTACCATTCGATGCATCTTTTCCTCCTCTTTCTGACAGCTTCCTTTTCTTTGCGAGACATGTGACTTTTGCAGACAAAATCGCTGTAATTTCCAATTTTACGGGTGCGCAAGGGTGCAGTGGAAATTCCAAAATCAATCCATTTTCACGCCATAATCGCTCACTTACTTCGTATTACTAGTGATAGTAATAATCGAGTCCAGAACTCAATATTTTGGGGACTTCGCAGTGTTTGGTGCAATTATGTGTCTTGCAATTTTTTCAAAATTCAATGCTCTCGTGAAATAATTCAGCAAAATTCTACAGCGGGGGTGAAATAATGCAAAAAGTTGCATTAATTTGCAAAAGGTTTGCCCTAGAAGGTGGTTATTAGAGCGCCTTCAAAAACTCAAAATGAAAATTCTAAAAATTAGCGAAATTTAAACATGGTAAAAATGATGGGCTCTAGTTTTCGGCGATTATCTCAGTGCTTATCGAAATAGTCACAGCGAAAACATAGCCGTTGAAAAGAAGAAGAAATTCTGCATCGGATAGTGCTTATTGTCTATCTTCTAAGGTTTTTGTGCATGGGTCTGAAAAACTGCGTGAACTTTCGGAGCGACCTAATATTTTTGAGCAGCCGATTTTTCATTCTAAACAATCAAATTTTCAAATCAAACTATACAGAGAGTGGTAACAATTATTTCGAGATAGTTTTTTATATCTGAACTGGTAACCGCCAATTTGAAAAAAAAAACTGGGCGCTGCATTCATACTAAAGTTTTATACTAACTTGAATAAAGCGTACTTATCACTGAAGTTTGTAATCAGTGAAAATCACATGTTTATGGTTATTTCCATGTAGTTCAACTATGAAACAACTTCTTTTTTCCAATTTTTTCGTTCTCATTACTTCAATTTCTAATTCTCTGTTTTCTCTACTTGCTTACCTCACAATGAGGGCAGTTAATGGGTGGAGCAATGGGCGGTCCCTGACCTCTGAGATGCGGAGGTGCTAGAACCCTCCTGGGTGCGATTGGTGGTGCGAACTTGGTGCGAGGAAAGGTGCTAGGAACTCCTGCACGCCCTCCTAGAAAGCGCGCCCCAGTCAATCGATACGCGCGGGAACGGCGTCTCTCATTCCTATGACTGCGTTTCTTTGATATTTTCTCATTCCCTTTTTACTGCTTATTTTTCTTCCTGTTTCCTATCTTGGTACAGCAATTTGAGTAATATGAGGAATTTGAGCAATTTGGGCGCTTTTGAGCGCTTTTAGGCGAAGTGTGGCCGGTAATCTCGTCGCACAAGCACAAAACGTCATTTTTGGGCTCAAGGGAGTATTCGTAAAACTTACTGGGATCAAAGGGGTATTCGTTTTGGAAAACCCCGTTTGCCCACCTTGTGCCGGGCCCTGACTCAAACGCTTGACAAAGGGCTTTTTTTACAATGTTGCTTTTCTACGAAATCAAGTCTTTGATCATAATTGAAGAAACCCAATCTGACGAACAACAAAAATGAGTGACTGCGCAGTATTATCACTTGGATGGATTTTTTTACCAGCTTCCTCCTTCTCCTCCTTCCCTTCCTCCTTGTCTCTACCAGATCAAGGGGAAAACCATAATGCGAAAACTTCTCGGGGAATGGTTTTACTCGTAAGGATTCAGTAATGGCAGATGTAAACAGGGAGCAGACTGCTTGCTAAAAGAAATTCTCCAGTATGCTGCAAGAAATCTTCCTTCAGGACAAGTTCACACTTATGGAAGCTAAGATCTTCCGTAACGCTTGTGCTATGGCTGTAGTTTGGCAGTCCCTGTTTGCATCTGAATTCTTCATCTTTGACAAGGCAATCCGCGTGAAGATGACTAGTTTGTTCAGCGTAGTTGTACTGAAATCGGAATGAAAAGGAATTGAACATGGTCCATGAGGAGAAATGAGCACAAAGTCTAATTTTCGTATGTATTTTGACGATGTTGCTGTTCTATGAATAGAAACCCTACGAGTAGGATCGCAGCAGAATTAGAATATGGACGTTTTTGAACCGTTAGAAATTGGTTATGTGACAAATCATGTGGGGTAACTATTAGGCCTTAACGTCTATAATTCATGAGTGGTCAAGCAATGGGCTGATTTGCCATTGTCACCATTTTCTGATATGTCCACTACGGAAAAGCTCATCATGTTTCTTGCTGATAACAACTTGCTGAACTTGCTCATTGCCTGCTCATAGATTTGCCTTCCGCTCCGCAAAAAGTCCCTTTTCGAGTCGTTTGATTATGAGCAGCAATTTTTGATGTCAATTTTTGAAGTATTTATCATTTTAGGCATAATCGTTAGTGTATCATCCTGCCCATTTGTGAGCTTACATTTGTGATTTTTGTTGTTTGGTCAAGTTTGGCTATTCGTTTGTGATATGATCTTTGTACCATCGCAGGCTGGTAACTGTTTAAACAGTGCGCGCTCTGAACACTTCGATCTTTGTTGGCATGGTGAGTCACTTCATTCGTTAGTTTCGGATCTACTGAAAATTTTCCGCGAGGGGTTTAACCTATAGTCGTTAGGTTCAAATACTGCAGGGACTTGCATCTCACTCGTTATCGTGCTCAGAATTCATAAAATCTTCTTGCTCAACTAGAAGACCATTTACAAAATCGCCGCTCATGACTAGTCATAGAAATTGCCGCACTCTACCGAATCCACCGAAATCCTCGTCGCATCGCCTTATAAGGAAAGCTACCTAACTTAGCTCGGCCTTTTGGCAAGGTATACATATATATTCTGAATCAGCTTCAAATGCTGATTCCAATTATGCTATTCCTAGCTGCCACGCGCCATTCCGGAGCGAGTTATGGGCTCTTTTTTCTGTGCAAAATTGGCCTACTACTAAACATGACAAGACTGCATGTAGATAAAAATCTGCAAGAAAAAGGTGCTGAGATATCGAAATAGTATAAATCCAATCTTTTCTCACTAAAAAAAAAGCTTAACGCAGGTGTATCTGAATGGAAGGGTACCATTCAACTCAGTTCACTGAGATGCATCCTGACAAATAGAAGCGCCCTTTTAGATACGGTAAACGGTTAGAATCCATAGATTTTTGTCTACGGCAGGTAAAGCACACGCAGTAACCCTACTGTATGCTCAAATCAAAAAAAGTCCTGAAATCTGTCCATCTTTGCACCTATCGTATCCAAACGGACACTTCTACATATGTGAAAATGCGCCTCGCGTGGCTGAGTTCGGAGTCCTTGGATCTAGAATATTCCGCTTTGAATCAAGGTGTGGCGATGCGAAGCGGATTTGGGTGAATTCCAGCGGATTGAGGGACTTTTTTGACTTATTATGAGCGGTATTGTGGTTTGTGTTTGTGAAGTTCAATATTTGAAAGGTTCTGCCTGATCCCGATTGGAGTAGGCTTAACGAGATATACAAGTCGCGATAGAAAAGTTCTGCAAGAAATGGGCTGCTATCCAGCTTCATTGCCTCAAGGCTTACGCCTATACTTTCTGCAGAACCATTGCTTCAAAAGGAAATGGTGGACTTTAAATTGATATTGTCATAAAGCTCGCGAATGCTGTCGTTTGAGTTCTGTTCATTTTTGATCTAATAAGGTTTTGGCGTTTCGACTATAACTTCTCAGGCGTCTTACATGTAGGCTGGCTTCAGCTTACGAAGGATTCACATTATAGGTAGAGGGTGGCGGTCAAGATGAACGATGGCATGTGCCAGCCGCCAGCTGGGTACCGTACGCGGTGCGCTGATCGCTCCGCCCCCTTGTTAATCAGCCTAGGAATGCTTTGCAGCTATTGGAAATCTCTCCAAATACTTCGTTTATGTTTCTTCGGTTGGTTGCAATTTGGATAACAATATATTTCAAATTTCAGCTAAGTTGAAAATCAATTTTCAAATCATTGTAAAATTAATTCGCAAGCTCTTTTTAACGTATTTCAATTATTTGTTCCTAGTAGGCTTGTCCAAAACGATTTTTCATTGCAAGTAAGAGGAAATTGTTTCGAAAATGCTTGGAAAAGTGATTTCTCTATTCAGATCTGTTACCATATTGAATATGCTTTGTTGTGCACTCTCAAGTTTAGTTCAAAAAGAAGTCAGCTTATCGAGAAATACTATTATTATTGCTAAAATGACCAACACCATTATCTCTTTTATCGTAAAAGTAAGTTTTGAAACCCTGATCATAGCTAGAAACAGATTTCATTGCGACGAGAATTCAAAACAAGCATTATAGGCGAACTTTCTTCAAGCAAACTAACTCGTTTTGCAAATATGCGATCATATCGCATAAATTTTCTCAGATTTCAGGAAAATCACACTGCACTTATAAATTTTCGAATTTGCTTTAAATATCAAAATCCTTTTATTTTGCTTCCAAAAACTGTTATCCTCAATATAAATCGATCTGTAACTCAATCGAACTGCGTGTGAACTAGTCGTAAGATGTGAGGTCACTCAAACATCATGCCTGAGGTGTTCTGGATTGATTTCACACTTCAAAGTTGGATATCCAGGAGTCACTCGGTCATCCATAGGTAAATCAGCAGATCTCTCGAATTTCACGACCAACACATCAGCTGTTCATTGATGCCAAAAAAGAAACAAAAAATTAAAACAAAATTCTGTAAATAGTCAAGCTTCACCCCAGATTGTAGCAAGCTTATATCTTACTATCAATAGTTATTATTTTTACTTGACGGTATCGTTCGAGAAACTCGTCCGCCGCAGTAGGGCGGAGCTTCGAGCGAACACGTTATTGCCAGTTCATGACCCCGCGCGCCACTGGTACCAGCTATCGTTCATCTTGACATATACCCATAGGTAGATGACCAGTTTCGATGGTTCAAGATTGCTATGATTTTGAGGAGGTCACAAGTCTATCATAGCGCTGATGCAATATTGCCTTCTCAAAAATCTGCGCTAAATCCACATTGATGGTAGTTTCCTCGATTTTCCAGAAACTTGTATCATCGGCCCTTGAGACGACGTTCATTTTGAATGTGAGCTTGCTCCTAAACACTATTTGAAGTTTCGAGATTTTTGAGACTTTTCTGCAGTATCGCACCCTTCGAATTCATAATTTTCTCATCCTACTCGTGCAATAGTGGAAATCGACCGGTCCATTCTATGCTACAAATGTACAATGAATTCAGTTCTTTGATTGGATTATTGAGAAGAATTGTTATCAGCAATATTTTTCATCCTTTATTATAGTCTGCATTGAAGACTCGAATACTGTACGATCTAGATGTAATAGCTTACTATGTAGTCAAGAGCTTGCTACATTTATCCAATAACCTGTAAATCAAAATGTTAACTTCAGAATTGCTCTGGTCCTTTCCTCCATAGCTATATCCCAAATCATTCAGGATCGCAGAAGAAGCGTGCTAGAGAATCTCCTTAATCGACAAACCGACGGAGATGACGCTCCAAGACCAAGATCATGGCGGTAGGTCACATTCAGCAATACCATATTCGTATACGAGTGTAGGGCCATAAAAGTTGGGCACATCCGCAGAGGGGTGTAGCAATTTATTGCATACTGGCCGTGATTTGATTTTATCGACAGCCGACATTGATTCTGGTCAAAACGGATTTAGCAAGAGTACGACTAATAGTGATCCTTCTTTTGAAGCAGCGTCCAGGCAAATTTGGGCATACGGGGTTCTGACGTAGAAATAATTTTGGGGCCCTGACTAAGACACTGCCCGAGAGGCAGCACAATGGTGAGCTCACAGTTGAGATATTCGCCTTCAAACTGGACCCCGGGATCGTATTCGCATGCATTCAAGGCGAGTCACACATCAGCTTCGGACCACGCGTGTCGCGCTATGAATCCATGCGAATACGATCCCGGGATTCAGTTTGGAGGCGAATATCTCAACTGTGAGTTCATCATTTGAGCTGCCGCTTGGGCAGTGTCTTAGTTAGGTCACCAAAATTACTTTCCACATCAGAACCCCGTATGCCCAGATTTGCCTGGCTGCCTTCAAAAATTGATGAATACTTTCACAGCTTTGAAGCCAAGTCAAAATCGGTATAATGCGAGATACTGCAACAGTATAGTATAGTATGTTTTACTCTACTAATATTCACAGGAAATCTCAGTATATAAATCAAACTCTACATTTACTGTAGCAGAAGTAAAAATCAAGATGAAAATCGAGATTTTCGTTGTTTTTTGGAGATAGAGCCGATAAGTTGAAACATAATTATTTCGTACAGAATGTCCCAGAAAATGTGCCTACTGTTTGTTTTCTAATACAGTAACAATGAAAATCTTTTAATACAGAACTCCCTGTCATGAAGTCCTTGGAGAAGTTTTAGGTATCGTCGATTCGTTGGCCGTACGGACTGCTCAGTCGCTGCGGACCACGCGCGGCGCGATTAAAATGTTGCGAGAGCACGATTTTAACAATGGCGAGTTTGCATTGGAGCAAGCGTTTTACCTCGCGGCGCGTGCTCCGCGATTATGTCCAGTCCGTACAGTCAACGAATCGACGATACCATTTTTATAGAGCTGGCTTTAACTTAGATTTACAGTATGCAGCGAATTTTTGGTCTATTTTTGTTACTGTAGAATTAAGATAGGAACTTCCAACATACAGCGCCATTCTCAGTTGAGCCTTTCACAGAAAATTCCAAAAATTTTGAAGACTTTTGTAGGTTTTCGCGCATGTGTTCCCGTGACACAACTTTATCAAGATGAGCTTGTAGTGTAGTTACATTTTTGGAGCAAATTTTAGGAGCAGTTTTACGGTTTACCTGTAGTAACTTTTGGAAGACACATGACGTGGTACGCAAATTAGTCTTTGATATCAGCGATTTGATTAGCCGGATATGAAAGTTTTTGCCTGTTTGGTTTATTTTTTAACAAATTGCGACTCTTAGCTCGGAACCCTCATCGAGGTGCCCTACAACAGGGATGTGTGCTTGGTGATTCGCTTCTCAGGGTCTATGCCGGTTAACTTGTCTTAACTCTACGAACCATTATATTTTTTTCATGTTTTTGTTGTGGTACTTCCAAACCGTGTTATTGCCGCGGTAATTTTTTGATCTCAAAACTAGCTCCTGAAAAACCTTATATCAAAGGGAAACATCAGATATGCTGTTCGTACCGCACAATCGATTGAAATCGCGGAAAATTGTGCCTACAGGCTCCAAAAAAATGGAAAACTCCTCGACACAGGCTTTTTCTACCGTGATTGTCACATTATGAGGTTTTGAAGGTAAAGAGGTGGAAGAAGGGGTCGTTCAGGTATCTAGCTGTGTAGAGAGAGAGAGAGAGGGTTGCTTGAAAGACGTGTGCCTTTCCTCTTGTTCTACCCTGGTTTAGAACGACTTATAGTGAAAATTTTTGAAAAAAGAAATTCAACTTACATAATTTTCGAATATCTTCTTCTACAAGGTGTCCTTCTGGCACTGAGCTGGAGAGTGAGAATGAATTTAGCTTTGCTTGTTTGTTTTTATGTGTTATAATCTATATTATATCACTTATAAATCATTTATACTATTGTTTTTTTACTTTGGTTGGTTATAATGTTGATGAGTATATTTTGCATTCTATCAAATTTTTAAAACTAAAAGTTTTGTAAAGTAACTGGATATATCGTATTACACAGTATGGAGATCTCTATTCAGACATTTGAAAATGAAAGGTATGTCATATAGCTATCATATCGGATTTTTCTTTTGCATGAAATGGTGAGGTATGTATTAGGTTGTCCGGAAATTAATGTCCGTTTTGAATTTCAACCGCAATAAGTCATATACTTCTCAATTTTGGATAGGTTGCAAGGTACCATTCGATAGAGGAAAGAAAGTTCTGCAAGATGGCTGTCTTTCTTTTGCAACAGCTCTCATACACCTCGAGTTTCGAGCTAAAAACTAAAATGATTCAGCTGCACGAAAAATTGAGAAAAATCGTAACTCAGTTCATAAAAATCCTACAAAAATTCTAACTCGCTCAAATATATACGATGTTTCCATCTATTTTCACTCTTTACAAATCAAGAAAAAGGAAATTTTCGTGCATTTCCAAAAGTGATGCTGTGCAGTCCGCACATGCGTAGTTGTATTCTACAAGCCTGTAGAAGTACAAACGTGAATTTTCAGCTTTGTACAAGCCTTGGTTCTCGAGAAATATCGAATTTGGCTTTTTCTAGTCAGGTGGTCTAAGCCAAAATCTAAATTTCTCGAGAATTGAAGCTTGTAGAAAGCCGAAAATTTACGTTTGTATCTAAGGCTTGTAGAATATAACTACGCATGTGCGGACTGCACAGCATCACTATTAGAAATGCACGAAAATTTCCCTTTTCTTGATTTCTAAAGGGTGAAAAAAGATGGAAACATCGTATATAGATGTCTTATGTAGATAGCATTTACATGAGCAAGTTAGAATTTTTGTAGGATCTTTATGAACTGAGTTACGATTTTTCTCAATTTTTCGTGCAGCTGAATCATTTTAGTTTTTAGCTCGAAACTCAAGGATTAATGAGAGCTGTTGCAAAAACAAGACATCCATCCTGTAGAGCATACCTTCGATAGTCTAGAGACAGGGCGTCAAAAGTGAAGGTTGTTTGAACATCTGACGTCATAAATAGTGAAGGTTGTTTGAAGATGATCAGAGAAGAGAAAATGACATAAAACAGATATAAAAAGCAAAAGAAACTGCTGAAAACCGGATAAAAACGCTGCAATGAGGCTTGAAATCTTTCATTTGGCGGCTTTTCAAAGTGCAAGTTTTCGCTTCAGGACCAGCGATTCGCAACACGGGGTTTTGATTTTCGATGCGTCCTTTGAATTTTTACCCCCGCATTGACGTTCCTGTTTCCTGGAACGTTGTCTGGATTGTTGCGCTTATTGTTCTGAGCAACAATCGCCCAAGCTGAGAAAAAAATCGATGCGAAAGCACTGAAACTGAACAAGGTAAAGAAAAATGCACTTTTTACGATTTTTTGCAAAAAATTCCACCATAATCCAAGAGATAAGGGCTGGGTGGTTGTCTGCATTATGAACAGAAGCAAGATCAATAGATTGCATGAAAAAACCGCATGAAAAGAGTTAAACTAGAAGAAAAACAAGAGACTTTCGAAAACAAGGTTTTTGCCGGATTTCTCGACCAAATCAAAAAATATGGTTTGGGACGTTGTCAGCGTGAAAATAGAGATCAAGAGCTTCAAAATGATATATAGCTTGCTAAGATTGGGTTCGAAACAGCGAAGAAAAGGGTACCAGAGCCAAATGCCCCGCGCCCCGCATTTGGGGTGGCGAGGTAGCGCGCAGCGCGCGGAGACGCAGACGAGCAGCGGAGACAGACCAGAGCCGACGGGGCATTTGGCTCTGGTCGTAGATCTCCGCGGGGTCTCAACGAAACCCCTCAACATTATATATCATTCTGATCGCCATGACACGACAAGGAGAACTGACAACGTCCCAAGCTTCAAAAATCGCTCTTTAAAGAGATAGACCAGCGTTTCCGTGCGCGACTCTCTGTGCAAGATTTAAGCGCAGTTTCTCGTCCTTATTCAACTCCAATAGCTTTCCTAAACTTGTGAAACTCGATTCTGTTCAAATGAGAGGTTAACTAAGAAATTCTGTTCTCAATTCTGGCGAAAATTCCACAGAAACCTTTTTTTAAGGTAAAAAAGGCTATGAAAACGCAAATTCTCGGTTTCGCTGAGATAAGCTAAAGATTTTATTCCCTATATTTGCTTCATTAACATTCGTTAAGATATAATCAGGATAATAACATCCGGGGCGAAGCCCCGGATGACTTCTGTTTTTTTCCAGGTGAAGGTTGTGTCCCCTCATAGCCTTCAAAGTGAAGGCTACTAGAGTACGTGGCTCTACGTATCGAGGGTATGCTGTAGAGCTTGCTTTGCTCTATCGAATGGTACCATGCAACCTATCCAGAATTGAGAAGTGTATGACTTATTGCGGTTGAAATTCAAAACGGACGTTAATTTCCGGAACAACCTAATACATGTTTTGGCTAATCCAAGAGTTTCTGTACAAACGTTACATTCTGATAATGATCGAGATACATATTAGAAGTGAATTTTCTGGCATCAAAGTTTAAATTATCAGTTTTATTATAGAATTTTGCTATCTATTTGTTGTTTATACTTTAAATGTACTCTAAATGCTTTGAGGCGTTTCTAAGTTTGTTATTGTTATTCTCGAATGTTATGAATAATCATATAGTTAGGAGGGTAAATCATTGCTTTCCTACTTGTATACAAAAATATTTGGTACTTTTTCGTTATCCGTATCCATTTTTTCAGAAGGCTTTCAAAATAAGTTCTTTAGTCTATGCTAAGAACAATTTTTCATAGATTCTAGAGGACTGCCTCCCCGCCACGTGTCAAGGAAAAAATAACACGTTTTATTCCGTTTTGATTCGTTTTTTTCTTTCGAAATCATTTTCGGTGAGTAAAAGAGAGCATT